TGGGAGTCCTGGTCCATCCCGGGCGCCTGTGCTTCAGCTTCGGTATTGGACTTACGCGCGGATGTTTGCCAGGAGATGTGCGTGAGAACCTGTTACTAAACCAGTGCCGCTCCAGGTGAGCGCCGTTGCCCGGGCTCTGCCCCTGGGACTCAGACCTGCGAGCTGAAATTCCCCAAGGCTACGGGGACAGCCCGCACCTAAGTGACGTTTGGGTCCTGGAAGCCTTCCCCAAAGGAGGAGGCTTTACTGTCAATTCGAACTGTTTGTCCAGTGTTATCAGCCATGGCTGCAGAGTAGAACTACCAGGTTGAACGTGCTGGATGCCTGGGCTTCACTTCCAGAGAGTGGGAGTGATTGGTCTTTGGCGAGCTCTAAGCATCTGCATTTGTTGTTGTTGTTGTTGTTGTTTATTGTTTAAACTCCCCAGCAGTTTCTAAACTCCAGTCTTCATGCGTATGAAGACCAATTTCCCTTTCTTGCCACCACACTATAAATATAAAACAACGCGAGACCCAGCTGGAGGATATCCCTGTGCAGAGAATTAAGTAGCATTTTTCCCCTCACTTAACCACTTGAGGTGTTTCAGCCCCGGAATGAATTGGCAATGAATGGCCTTGGGCCAGATTTACCTGTAAACTCCTACAGTCTAACATGTGTACGGTTTGTCGCGTGATCAATCATTCTCCATCCTGTCTGAGAAAGCAATTTCAGTTGAGTGCCCGACTTAATTGGTTTGTGCCCACACAGGACCCTCAAGGCTCCCCTTAGCCTAGATATACACCAGTCAGGTGGCCTCCGTTTCTTGCTGTTTGAAAAGGGATCATCTAAAAGTTAGATTTGTACAGTGCAGTTGTCACCATCATTTCTGTAATATTTACATAATGGTGCATCACTGGTAATGTAGGGCCTTCCACCCAGATTTCTTTCACTTCCACGCAGATTAGAATCAAGAACAGCCGATCTAGAGAGCCAAGTAAACCCATGGGAGTAGTTTCCAAAAGAAACAGGTACACAGTCATATGTAGACTCTTGTTTTTATCAAAAACATTTATTTATAAATGCTAATCACGTAACATTTCCCATCACTGAAGCAGTTTATATTTGCAAGGCCCACCAGAGGTTGGATGTTATGCCTGGAATTCTGGTAGCTACTAGCAGACATCGGTTTAGGTAGCTCGAGGAACATGTAGACTCCAGATGCAGAGAACTGATGTTTCAGAACAAAATAAAATTCTTCCAGAGTTGAGTGTTCTTTTAAATCTGTTCCTTGGGTGGTGATTACATGGGTGTCTTCACTTTATGGTAAATTGTTGATATGAGCCTTAATTTTTGTAGTTTCTTTTGTGTGTAATATATCAGTAACAACAGATGAAATATTAGAGATTACCAACAAAAGAGGACATAATTAGGAACACATTTTAAAAGAAACAGTTATTAAAGTAGTCCTGAATCTAACATGCTTACTATCCAACCAAGGTAGAATTACCTAAGAAACAGGTGATTCCAGTTCTTTTTTCCTGCAGCACCTGGGTGCAGGCTCCCCTTTTAGTAGGATGCAGTATAGTTGTTTACTAAAGCATTTTGCAATCACATGTTGAAAGTTTCTACAATTCCAGAATCCTCACTGTCCTAAAAATACCTTTTGTTTGTTTTCACATCTCCACGATGTTGGGACTAGTCCTGTTTTAAAACAAGGAGGTGGGGCTTCCAGGAGGTGATTAGGTTATGAGGTGGAGCCCTCATGAGTGGGATTAGTGCCCTTATAAACAGAGGCCCAGGAGAGGTCCTTAGCTCCTTTCTCAGTGTGAGGATACAGCAAGGAGTATGCCATGCAGAAGAGGCTCTCACCAGGTGATACTGGCACCCTGATCTTGGACTTACTGCCTCAGGAACTGAGAGAAATCAGTTTCTGTTGTTTGTAAGCCACCCAGTCTGGTATCTTGTCATAGCAGCCTGCACAGACTAAGACAAGCAGTTTCCTTCTCACAAGAGTTCTTCGTAAGCTAGCTGTTCTGAATATAGGACCTTTTTCGTAAGGAAATCACCTTGTCAGTGGCGAGAACTAGAAATCATTATTGAACACAGTCTGTTCCTGAAGCCTGATCTGTTAGTCCTCTGGGTCCTAATCACTGTGCAGAAGCAGGGATGACTCTGCCCCTCCTCCCCCACCCTATCTTCCTGCACAGCCCGCCTGGGTGCCTCCCCGCTCACACACGCACCCACATACATGCGCACCTGGCATCCTGGCCTGGACACTGAACCAGGTTCCGACAGGTGGCTTGGGATAGGTCCCGAGTACAAGGAAACAGAAAAAAGAATGTGGCTACGGGGGATATGAAAATATGAAAGTGGGGGAAAAAGACAGATGTCTGTGTTTTGCCAGCCTGGCATTCATCTGCTCCTGTGGAAATAGCACTTCAGTTCTCCTTTGGGGAACATAAAGGAAATGAATCCCTCGAGCCCAGTCCTTGTGATTGAAAGGGGTGAATCCCCGCCGGGGTGGCGGGGGGGGGGGGTGCTTTAGGGGAGCACGTGATTCAAGCCTGGCCAATGAGGTCATTCCATCTCCCTGGCTCAGTGACTGGCTCCAGAAAGCACGTGACCCAAGCTCCCTCCGCCCCGCAAATCCGAGACTTGCTTGACCTCTATCTCCTGGCCATGTCACTCCCTGCAACTTGGGATGGAGGACAGCCACCAGCCAGTGTGAGAGGAGCAGAGGCACAAGGGGAGGAGGACGTATGTGGCGTCCCCTTTTGCTTTCCACAGTCTCCTCTTCCTCATCCTGGGGGAAAGGCTCACTGTCCCTACTCAGGGAAGGCTTTTCTCATCCTCTGCTCCCCTCGCCAGTGCTCGCTCAGCCTTCTGTTACCGCACCCCTGCAATTGTGACAGCACGGGAATCTTCTCCTGCCACCCAGTTACGAATTCCTCAAAAGCCAAGGATCTAAAGGCTTTTTATTCAGCTCTTTATATGCAGCAGATGGCCCAGTCCTGGTGGCACATTCACCCACCCACTGTGTTCTGGGAATGGTTTTAGGTGCTTGGGTGCAGCAGTAGAGAAAAGTCTCTGCCCTGATAAAGCATCTGGTCTGGTGGGAAGAGACAAGCAAATGGACAAGTAAATATATGCAGAAAGCCATGGAAGGAAACAAAAGAATGGGAGATGAAGAGGG